CCTGAAACATAAGACAACGTTCAGCATCTTAAGTCAGGGTAAGCCTAAGAAGGGTGGTCTCATGGAGGAAGGTTAAGTCAGGAGGGGAGGATGAGAAAGATAACATGCTCTGTCTAAAACTTGTTGAATTTCACCTGACCATTACAAAAGCAATCAAAACTCTCTCTTTCAACAAGTGTCTTACCAGAAATGTGATAGCAATTCTTAGGAAGGATTTGGCAAACCTAGTGTTTAGCAGATTTGCAACAATGGCTGTAAATTCAAATGGAAGACACTTCCTGGCAGTGCGCTCAGCCCTCCAGGAAGGGTGGATTATTTTACTTGGAGAGAAATAGCAAGGGAGGTATTCAGACCAGCAACATTCTTTCCAATCTAACAAATAAATAAAAAAGAAAGATGATTGAGGTCTTCGGTGTATTTCATGTATGTTAGTAGAAAGACATCAAATTAGGATGTGTCCACAGAAAGTTTGAAGTAACTCTGGACCCTCAATAATCTTTTTTCTGTATATTTGAACTACCCACCTGCTGGGCTTTTGAAGTTTGAGATATTAAAAGAGACGAAGCCCCATCAATTTTTGCAGGAATTTTTATTGAGTTCTACTCAGAGCCCTTTATCATGAAGATTGCTGGCTTTGGCAAGCTTCTGGAAGACATCTCTTATGGGGAGCCTCTCTATTTTTGTTTTGGAGGAACTTTCAACAATTAATCACAGAATTATTTACAGTTATAAAAAGTTGGAAACAACCTAAATGTCCAACAAAAAAGTAAATCTTTTATAGTACACATGCTTGACAATGTATTATACAGTATTAAAAAGAATATGGCAAGATATTAGTTCACCAATACGGCAACACTAAGAAATGTTTATGCTATAATAAGTGAAAAGAATGATACTATATTTTAAGTTATGTAAAATGGAAATGAACATGTAAGCCCCTTCAAAATATTAGGATTATGCGTGATTATACAAATTATTTCCTTTAAAAGTTGCTTGTGTTATAAATAATAGCTCTGAGGAAAACATAATAAAAATGTGCATGACCAAGAAGGCCTCATCCTATAAATATGCTCAAGTCTCCCCACCAGCATAAAAAAGCCACCAACTTTTCATTCTACTGCATATATCATATTGTTCTTCCCTTCTCTCAACAGCTACTAAGCTTCTTCAAAGAACTGTCACAATAGCTTCTTGTAACTTGTCATTTTATATTTTCTGCTCAATCTGTTGAAATCTGCCTCTCACCTAGGTCACTTCTTTGAAATTGCTCACATGAAAGTAAGCAAAATTCTCCTTGTTGCTAAAATCAAGGGTCAGCTGGCCGTCCTTGTCTCAGCATTTGATATTTGGTCACTAGTTCCTTAACCTTGCTTTCAAAGTACTAACTACTCCTTCTCAGTGTCTTTCAGGCTCTTGGTCCTCCACCCATTCCTTAAATTTTAGTATTCCTCCAAGTTCTATTCCACTCTTTTTTTTCCCCATCACTACACATTCTCCCTCAGTGAGCTTGTTCACACTCAGTATATACTAGCTATATACTGATGAATCCCAAATCTAGCCTCTATCCCTAGAGCTCCTGTATCAGTTATCTGTTGTGGCATAACACATTACCTCAACACTTAACAGCTTAAACCAACACACATTTATTTTCTATTTCTGTGGGTTAGGAATCCAGACGTGGTTTCACTGAATTCTCTGTTTCATGGTTTCTCACAAATCTGCAATTGAGTTGTCAGTCAAGGGTCTGCAGTCTCATCCGAAGGCTCAGCTGGGAAAGGCTCACTAAGAGGTTGTTGACAGCATTCAGTTCCTTGGGTATTCTTGGACTGAAGGTCTCAGATCCTTGTTTGCAGTTGGCTAGAGTCCACCCTCAGTGCCTTGCCATGTGGACCTCTCCAACAATACAGATTGCTTCATCAAAGCGTGCAATCTGTGAAAGCAATAGAGTTTTCTAGCAAGACAGAATTCACAATCTTTTGTGACCTAATCATGAAAGTGACATTTCCTCAATGTTCCTATATTCTATTGGTCAGAAGCAAATTATCCAAGGTGAGGGGATTACTAAAGGGCATGAATACAAGGAGGTGGAGGTCGTTGGGGTTCATCGTAGATACTGCCTAACACAACTTCTAAACCATATATATCTGTTTCACTCCCTACTTGCACATATCCATTTGGGTGTCACATTATCTAATGCAACATATACAAATTTGAACACATCTTTTTCCAGCTCCCCAAGCAAGATCATTTCCAGCCTGTAATGT